CTACTTCTCCTCTCGCTTCAAAAGGTTTATGTCAATCAGAGATAACCTCTTGTTTTGACACGGTATTTGTACCTTAAGACGTGAATGGATTCAATGATCATACTACAACTTTACTAAATAATATGTCTTTTTTTTCTAAGTCTTATCGCTGTGCCTTAATTTAGCCTTTATGAACCGAAATAGACTTGGCCCCTGTTTGATAAAGATTAGATATTAATCCCATTTATAAAAAAAAAATTGATATCAATCGCAACTTTGTAGTAGGCAGAAGAGATAGGAGACTGTAAACTTGCCATTGATTTGAATCAATCGCAACTCTCTGTAAGTCTAGGCCCTGGTCTTGTAGGCAAATTTCCTTTAGAATTAGGGGAAAGAATGACACTTCAAATGCCATCATTCCTACAGAAATATACACCCCTGACAAGAAATTGATGATAATGATAATGTGGATTATTGATCAATTTATGAATAGTCTGATGGGCTCATTGTGAAAATCTCTACTATGTTTCATAAGCAATGCCTAACCCCTGAACGCCATCACTAAATGCCATCACTGAACGTAATCTCTGAACGCCATCACCGAACGCCATCACCGAACGCCATCACCTAACGCCATCAGTGAACGCCATCACCGAACGCCACCACTGAACGCCACCACTGAATGCCATCACTGAATGCCATGACCTACATGTAATGCCATCACCGAACGCCATCACCGAATGCCATCACTGAATGCCTTCACCTAATGCCATCACCGAACGCCATCACCGAACGCCATCACCGAACGCCACCACTGAACGCCACCACTGAGCGCCGTCACCGAGCGCCACCACTGAACGCCACCACTGAACGGCACTACTGAACGCCACCACCGAACGCAACCTCTGAAAACTACTGAAGATGTGAAACTATAATATGTATGTTTAGAGAATGTGCTTGAGTGTTTGCACTCTGGTATGCAACCTCCAGGCATCTTGCAAAGCACACAAGTCTGCATGGATCTATGCAGCCATTGTGAGAAAGCTTCTGTTTTGATACATACAAGTACATTGTAGCTAGTAGCGCATGGTAGTGTATCATCTGTATCGAGCCATATTGAACCATATCAAGAATATTGACTTTCTTTCAAAGGAACTACATGTATCAGCTTCTTTGTGTTATATCTATCTTTTATAGAACTTCTTTCAATAAAGAAATATTCATAACAAAGTGCCATCACTCATGAATGAAAACACCTTTCACAGGTGGAAGTAAGGTGTGTTTGTGTGTGGGTGTGTGTGGGAGGGGGGCGGGGGTGGTCACAAAAAGGGTGTCGGCTTAGTAGACACGTACAGTGTAAGCTAAAAATGGCATAGCAGGGCCTATCTTAATAGATAATTTGCTAGGAATTCCTTGCAACGCCCTACTGTAAAGTGCACAATACTTGGCGATAGTTAGACATTTACAGTGTAAGTGGGTGTATTTTCTTAGGGATTGAAGCATTATCACTGAAATAGAAATCGGCCAAGAGATCGATATGGGTGAAATGATTTATAATCTCTTGTAGAGACTAGTGCTGTAACATCACGGATATCTCCAATTCCGTTTAACCGCCAGTCAAAACCGGACGGTTTTCGGTTAAACGATTTAAAAAAAATTAAAAAAAAAAAAAAAAAAAAAAAAAAAAAAAAATCGTTTTTTTTTTTTTTTTTTTTTTTTTTTTTACCGACTCTGTCGGCAACTTTCATTTAACTGCGAGGTGCATTTAAAGGGGCCGATTTGTGCTTGTGAACTTGTCACAAATAATAGTAACAATGTTGTTTTTAGAAGAATGTGTAAGATCATTAATATAAATTAAAAACAGTAGAGGACCTAGGACAGAACCTTGTGTAAAAGTTGGATGAATTATTATTATAAACTACATATTGAGATGATGAGATCTATTACAAAGATTACTTTCAAACCAAGATGACAGACAAATTGGAGTGTTGTTCTAGTTTTAGAGTGGTGAGTCAACACACAGATTACTGAGCTAGGAGACATTGCCAGGCATAGTGCCAGGTGGAGGGGCATAAATCGAAACTTTAAAAAAAAAAAAAAAAAAAAAAAATTATAAAAAAAAAAAAAAAAAAAAAAAATATTAAAAAAAAAAAAAAAAAAAAAAAAAAAATCGGGAAAACGAAACCGTCCAATTGAAAACGGAATCCGCCATGGGCGGTCGGATACCGGACGGTTAAACGTTTGACTACAGCACTAGTAGAGACATAGCTACAAATCATGGGCTACTAGTCACTTTTCTTGTGTGTAAGATGCAACTCCCTATCTGATACTTTAAATAAATGTTCATCAACTGAAATCATGCCTTGTCTTTTACATAGTTACACTCAGAGGCGTATGAGAGAATCATTCAGTCTTGTCCATGGACACGTGATACAAATGTTTTCTTTTTGGTGTATGAAACCAAGCGAGCGCAACTGCAAGGGTATCAAGACCTGCATCCCAGCATGGTAGGTGAGAATATTGCAGCCGACAAATCGCTATCAGTCACGAGTCATATAGACTGTTCAGACCTAAGGACATTTGAGAAACATTATGTAACGATTCATCGTATAGTGATAGGAGCTTTAGTACGCAGCCCAGAAAACATTAAATGCTGTATAGAGAAACTTGTAAAATTTGAAAGAGGTCAGTTAAGCGGGTATGGTGGCTCAATGGTTAGAGCGTCCGCCTCATGAACGGGAGGTCGTGGGTTCGATCCCCGGCCGAGTCATACCAAAGACTTATAACAATGGGACCTTCTGCCTTCTCGCTAGGCGCTCAGCATATTAGATTGGAGAAGGGTAATAGTAACATGTTATGTTATGCAGGGCCTGCTGGAAGAGCAGTTTTATAACTGAAGTGGCTACCCTGGGTAAATAAAACATTATTATTATTATTATTATTAACATGATAGGTGTCCAATCATCTGTGCGCATTCACGATAAACCCTACCCTGTAATATGATTTTTGTACTATACCATGTTCAGACTCGAGCTGGACCCTGATTCTTTATCAAGTTTTCTCGTTCAACACGATGCTCAAATGTGCATTTCACTATACAACATTTCGTCATACGACATTGCTTTACAAGACGTTTAGACTAGATGAAAGATAATCCCTTATCACTATTATACCTATACGAGAATCGTATAGCTGTACGATGAATTCCAGTAGTCTGAACGCACGGTTGGGCTTGCATGCAAGTGAGGGGTGGAGTAGCTATCATCTTCTCCAAGTTGAGACCACAAACTTGATACCCTACGTCAATCGTGCCCCAACAACTCCACGGTGAACACAGAGCCTGACGCCAACCCCAACTAAGAGAAGGTCCTCGGGTCAATCAGTACCCACTTCAAATCAGCAACAAACTGTGATCAGAATTCCTCACTTTGCTTTATTACATATCTTCCTCTATTTATCTTGTTCTTTTTTTTCTAGCAGGATTTCTTATCGAAACTTTCCCGCCCTACTCGATCAGCTCCTTTTCAAACTCATTTTAATAAGTGTTTTTTCATGTAATCTTTAATTTATGTAATCTTTTGTGTTTTTTTGTAATCTTTTGTGTTTTTATGTAATCTTTTGTGTTTTTATGTAATTTTATGTGTTTGCATGTGGTTTTATGTGTTTTTGCTGGCTTACGTGACTTGAAATTTCACTGCAGTTTCTTTATTTGTGAGGCGTTGTTTAGCTTTGGGTGTGCATGGGTCTTTCGTCTTGAATGAAGGGTCACAATCATACACTCACCTGTTAGTGAACCATTAACAAATACATTTCACAAATGAGGGCACATTCTCAATGGTGTTTTTGTAACGCAGCGTGTGTCCAGAAACGGGGAAGTGGTGTTCTGTTGTTGATAAAAATCGAGCATGTGTTCACCTTCGGATATTTTAATTACAATACTCGAGTGACCTTCGGTGTGTACTAAAGGATGTTGTCCTTTGAAATGGTCAATAGTTTGTGTATTTTAATTTTCTTCAGAAATTTTGCCTTCTTTTGATCAGAGATAAAGCCTAAGATAACATAGTACATCTCAATCACTTTGCAGGTTTCTCGCTAATTACCGGTCAAAGCAATATGCCTCCCAGGTACTTGAGGGGACATAATAGACCGTGTATATTCTGGGAATGGCACGTTTGTATGACCATATCCGGAAAATTTTCAAAAAAAGTGTGAAGAGGTGTTTATTGAGACCAGCAGCGCCCCAAAGAGTATCTTTGAAAACCGACCTGTGCCAATTATTCCCATCTATCTGCCTAGAAGGACCAGTCAAACTTTGTCTATTTTAAAAGAAAACCACAAGAAAGTATTAAATACTGCTTTGTCTTTGTTGTCCTTACCCTGCAGCAGAATTTATACCATAAACAGTAAACCACAATTATTCACCTTTGTCTTCATTTGCAGTCATTGCAGAGGTGCTAGTCATTTTGTAAGCATTTCAAATTTGCTGAAAAGCCTATATAAGTCCAGATGATCTGCAACGAAATCAAACAAAAACAAAAAAGAAATAGAAGCAATTAGAATTAGACTGATTTTGTGTGTGGGTGTGTGTTTAGAAATAATCTTAAAATTTATCTGTTTAATTCGACATATAATTGTTCTGCCATTGTTTTGTAAGTTTTATCTTACCGCTGTTATTCCTTTGTTTATAATGCAGATGTTTTGATGTGATCTCTTTCTGATTTTTGTTTTTTTCACAAGTGCACCTTGAATATTTGATTTCAAGTGGATTTAGCGCCTTTCAATTCTCATATGTTATTATTATTATTATCAAAATTCTTCTTGTTCTTCTTGTTCTTGTTCTTCTTCTTCTTACTATTATTAAAATCATTATCATCATCATCATCATCATCATCATCGTCATCGTCATCATCATCATCATCATCATCATCATCATCATCATCATCATCATCATCATCATCATCATCATCACTATTATTATTATTCATAAGTGACGTTTTCTACTTTTTTCATTGACTTTCCAGAGAGGTGGCGGGTCCGGGGCACAGAGGATGGGGGCTGGTATGCCACCCCCCTATGGTGGTATGAGGGGCATGAACCAGAGCATGGACCAGTCTAGGAAGAGACATGCCCAGGTGGAGGCCCAAAAGAAATCACAAAGGTATGTTCTTTTAACTGTGTAATCTAAGGGTGTTTCACAAAGCTTAACTCTAAGTTGGACTTAAACATTATGGAAAGCCATTAGTAGCTTTTAAAGCCCCACTGTCCTACTTGTAGCTACTTGCTCCCTCTATATAGAAAACTTCCCCAATCGGTGCCTGTTGGTCCCCCATGATCCTCTTTTTCTTATGTTAGTTGAGAGCTGATGAGATAGCCACCTGTCAGTGACCTCGCTGTGTGGTCTAATCTCTTCTGGCCCAGTAGTATTGACGGTCTTTAACTCTTAGTTGGACTTAAAAATTATGGAAAGCCATTAGTAGCCTTAAAATAAGATATGTTCAAAAACAAAAATATTAGTATTTTAGACTTTTCATAACTTCCACATCAAGAACATAAAATCTCCTACGATAATAGAAAATATGAATGATTTGAATCAACATTTTATGCCTTTTAAATAACTTTTACAAAATATTTTCCTAGATCCTAACTGCTTTCCATAATTGTTAAGTCCAATTTAGAGATAAGTTCAACTTGGGATCTTTGTGAAACACCCCCCTGGTCTTATAAAGAGTTACGATTGATACAAATCACTCGCGATTCCTCTAATCAGTTGCGAGTTTGCAGTCCCTATCTCCTATTTACTGTACATAGTTGCGATTATCATCAACTGTTAAGACGGGCCCCAGTTTTTCTTTTAGCGTGTATCATACAGTTATTGGTTTTATTGAAAATATTCATATTACTCCTTGAACTGAATCACATTGATTACATTGATAAGAAAGAAATATATACCCTTGATAGAGAAAAGGATGCAGCAAATATACATTGTTATATATAAAATATAAATTGAATGTAAAATTCAGACTGATTATATAGCTACATATATATTAACCTGTGGACCACTTTTGGTAGAAAAAAAATTGTCCTGCTAGGACAAATATATCCCGCTAGGACAACTATATCCCGCTAGGACAACTGTATCCCGCTAGGACAACTGTATCCCGCTAGGACAACTGTATCCCGCTAGGACAACTGTATCCCGCTAGGACAACTGTATCCCGCTAGGACAACTGTATCCCGCTAGGACATCTGTATCCCGCTAGGACAACTGTATCCCGCTAGGACAACTGTATCCCGCTAGGACAACTGTATCCCGCTAGGACAACTATATCCCGCTAGGACAACTATATCCCGAAGACATTAACCCTCCCCCTTCAAAATGATTACCCTCAAGACGAGCAACCTGGAAAACTACTCTCTAGAAGTTCATACATGTATTTATGAGAGCTGTTAGGAAGTCATCATTGAGTTTATGTTGAGTTTATGATACATTCAAACCTGCTTTAGGGACCACCTGTATAGAAAGACCACATTTGTGTTCCCATCGAATAGGGTTGCTCTTTGAAACTTGTACTCAAGGAACCTGGACATAAAGACCACCTGTCTGTTTTGTAAAGGTCTCTTAATATTTACCTTGAGTGATCTTTATATACAGGTTTTTACTCTATTAGTTCTCAGCAAACGAGTTCATATTACCATTAAGAGCTCTATATTTGAACAAGAGGCTAATTTTGCCTCACTTTTCACTTCATATTTTTCTTGTGCTGTATTAAAGTGTATACAGTAATCACATTCTTAATTTTTCAATTCAATTTCAATTTCAATTTATTTCTGGTACTGCTACAGAGGATTATGATCTTTTCAAGGATAACACTGATTTTGCCTCTCTTCACCATTACATAAATAAATTTTACACCTTTGTAATGTACTGTCCCTGTCTCTAAATCATATTTTCGAATGTTTAAATGGCACTTCTGCAGCAACAGGAAGAAAAAGAAGATGGCCGACAAGGTGCTTCCCCAGAGGATCCGAGACCTGGTCCCAGAGTCCCAGGCCTACATGGACCTGCTAGCCTTTGAGCGTAAGCTAGACGCCACCATCATGCGCAAGAGACTGGACATCCAGGAGGCATTGAAGAGGCCTGTCAAGGTAAGATTGATTATTGTCCCACCCATTGATTCTGATGTCTTTGTTTGTGCCTGGACCTGAGGATGTGGCCTTTGGGTGCTGTCAGTCTGTGTGTATACCTGGGCCCTGTTTCACAAAACTTGTCATCAGTGACAAATGACAGTTTTTGTTATAAGCTACTGAAATCCTTGCTTCTGATTGGTTATCAGTAGATTTGTCACTGATTTGTGTCACTTGTCATTGATAAAGGGCTTTTTGAAACGGGTCCCAGGTTCCTACAGGAGATGAGATTTGCAGCTCCGGTGTGCCCTATGCTTGAAGTTGTTTCTTTAAACTGCTGGGGCTTACCGGTAGTTGCAAGCTTGGTTAAAGGATCTATCTATGTCTGCAAATTTGAAAAACTGAAGAAGGAAACTGTTTCCATGACTTAAATATTTACATGGGAAAAAGTGTTAATATATATATTTTTTAAATCACAAATTAGACCTCGAAAAGCAACAAATCTTCTAAAAATTACTTTACTGGGTTTCAACCGTTATCCACTGAGAAGAAGAAACACTGTAGTCACATCACTACCAGGCCATTGTTTTAGATTTGCAAACCTGCTTCATGGCAGCAGACCATTCTACTTTGTGCTGCACATCAAAATACAGTCTGGATATCGAGGCTATAAATGGTAATCCAACAATACCGGTAGGCATTCTCACACCTTTGTAACTTGTCCAAGAGAGGGCAGTGTGTTGCACAGGGAGCAGCTCATTGGACAGGAGGGCCAGCTAGCCACGCCCTTCCCATTTCCTGGAGTACCGGCCCACGAACCGCCTTCACATTCACGCACCCCTCTGGATTGACCCGCCCCTACGAGGTTACCCCAATTGCTCTTGATCGATATCGGTCATACGTGGTTACCCCTCTGTATCGGTCCAACAATCTGATGAAACGCATCCTGATTCCATTTAAATGGTCTGCCCTTCAACAAAAGAATTAGACCATAGAAAACTAATATTGTTCTTTATCTCTTGAGCACCACGCTGTGCTTGTGATTCCGCTATTGTAGTTATCCATCTCAGACCATCCGTTGATTGCCTGTTCTAGGTACCTGTGTGGGGCTCAGGGTTTGACTGATAGGTCTAGATTGCATTGTCAGGGTTTAGAATGGAGTAAAGTAGGGCAGGTCAAAGGGACGTCAGACACGCCTTCAAAGGACAGTATCAATCTTGAACTTTCACATTTTCTTTTTTCAAAATCAGATTTCCAAAAGGAATTGGTGAGAAGGATGATTATTAGGGAATCCTTTAGATAGGACTTAAGGCTGTAGGTCCCCTGGAACTTACTGACAACAGATTTCCAAAAGGATTTGGTGAGAAGGATGATTATTAGGGAATCCTTTAGATAGGACTTAAGGCTGTAGGTCCCCTGGAACTTACTGACAACAGATTTCCAAAAGGATTTGGTGAGAAGGATGATTATTAGAGAATCCTTTAGATAGGACTTAAGGCTGTAGGTCCCCTGGAACTTACTGACAGAACAGATTTCCAAAAGGATTTGATGGGAAGGACTATTATTAGGGAATCCTTTAGATAGGACTTAAGGTGGATGTAGGTCTCCTGGAACTTACTGACAAGCTAATATTCTTGCTTTATATTAAAGTGCCAGGGTAAAACAAATAGTCAACCAGTCACTTTGTTCACATTGCTCTAATTTTAACTAGCCATTCTACAAAATTGTTGAGATTTTAATTATGGTGAGAATCTGCATCAAGGATTCCAGTTTAACTTCCAACCATAGCACAGATGTCCTTTAGCAAGGCATTGATCTATATTTGCCACTCTCAACCCATGTGAGGTAAAGGGGTACCTGGATGGGAAGTTATTCCTTGAATTCTTTAAGCTGTGGGGCAGCTTGGCTCAAGCAAGGATTACTGTAGTACCTTGTACATGTAGGTGCCTAGAGCATCCCCTTGGATGTAAATGTACACATAAATGGAGTCGTTATTATTGCTGTAATTTTAATTAGGATGAACTATCAACCAATCACAAAGCAGTTCTTAGATAGCTCTGAGATTTGAGAACATTCTTTCATTTTGCATGACATAAACTGTCAAAGCTGGCCTATGCTAATTCTACCTTTATATACATCATGTATTACCCCCAAAAAGCGTACAGAAGTATGCAATAACATACCACATTCTTATAAATGTATCCTTAATTAACATACAAAATCAGTCTTCTCTGTAGAATGAAAAGATATACAGCAAGCAATGAGTGCTGAGAAAAGTTTCAATGATCTATCTTGAAAATAAAACAAGTTTACCTTTGCAAGATATGTTTAAATATGATCACATACAATTTTTAACGACAAAGATTAGCCTTGTACTGAATACTTAATTTCCAGCATATTTAGGGAGGAAGCATTGAAATCACCTTCATATAAAAATCTGAGCTGAGCTCATTTTTATGTACCGTAGTCATATTGTGGTCATCACCTACACATTATGCACATACACATACTATTAAAAGACACTCAATCAAAAGATAATGTCTTTTGTTCATAGCATTTCCTAGAAATTTATAGATGCCTCTTCAGGAGTATTCCATTACTGTTGCCCTTTAAAACAGTTTCTTGACATATTTTCCCCTTACTCTAGAACACGGCATAATTGATTATTGCAATTAAGTTGAACAAGACTGGTAGAATTGTTTTCATTCTACGTGACAGACTAGTCATACAATAGGGGTATATATTCAACAGGCAGAGTAACTGTTATGATGGATGTTGTCATATGACACCATTAAACACAATACTCAATGCCGTTAACCTCTTTCCGTTATTGTTATCTAGTCACGTTGTTATCCTTCTCGTAAACCGCACCTGACACGCTATCACCATTACGTGTTCAGGCGTAAGTGGCTTTTAATCTAAATATAGAAAGGGGAGACAAAATAGAACAGAATCAATTAGTCTTTTTAGGGTTTGTGTTCCATTCTTTACTCTGACACAATTTTTTCAATATTGTTGAAACAGGTCAAGGGTATTATCAAAAGCACACATCTCTCTACCCCGATGAACTGTTTGCCAAGGTTTTCTCTTGTCTTTCTGAGTTTGCGCTCTTCATTATGTCGCAACAGAATGCCAATCATTCGCGGAGTTTGTTCAGGAAAACGAATGTTCTTTTGTTGTTGACCTACAAAGGACAATGCCTCGGATAACATTCCGTTGTCATGTGCACAGAATCACAGACAGAAGAGAGATATATATATATATATATATATATATATATATATAGGTCAATGACATATAAACCATGCTGACATGTTATCCCTGCTCAGTCAATGAAATGATCCGAAGCTCTCATTCAAGTTTGAAATTTTGCCGTTTTATTTGCATTCAATTTGTGAAATACAAATAATTTTAATTTTTGATACTAATCTACGAGATAAGATATGGGAGAGTGAGATGGGAAAATAGCGGGGGAGTGTGGATGAAAGTGAAAGAGCTAGAGAGAGAGACAGACAGAGAGAGAGAGAGACAAAGACAGAGACAGAGACAGAGACAGAGACAGAAATAGAAAGATAGAGAAAGAAAGAGAGAAAGAAAGTAAGAAAGTGGGAGATGAAAAGAGAGAGAAAGAAAGAGATGAAAAGAGAGAGAAAGAAAGAAAGGGGGCGAGAGATAAGAGTCAAAACATTATCTTCCAAAGGTCTTTTTCTATTAAAGTTGTAAAATGTCATGTTATATTTTACCAATAGTTTTAATGAGGCTTTGCGATCACACCTCAACAAAATAAATGCTGCATTTTTTAATTGTTTGATAAGTTTACCGTATATATGGACCATCCGCCAATTCTGTAATTGAATGATAATCTACGTACCACCATTAGAAAACCTAAAGTAAAATTGAATCGAAGAGAAAACTAACTAGGAAATAGCTGGAGTTTCTGTGACCGATATTTCATCCGTATCAGTGTGTGGTTAAATCCGCCTCCGAGCAAAACCTAATTACCTATTTCTTACACTTTATTTAGTACTCTAATTGTAATCCAAAGTCCTTGACTCAGAAAAAAATGAAATGTCATTCACAAAATTTTGCGGACAATGGGACAAAGCGAGCAAAAAAAAAAAAATCAAGTCATCGGAAACAAACTTACATCACCAAATGAACGGGTGTTCTAGTTTTCTTTGTAGGGGAAATTGTGTCAAGGGAAGATTGTCTAAATGGGAATAATGGGGTTTACCTAAACAGATAAACATAGTTTAGAAGTTGAGAGGTGCAATGTTTGTTTGGCCTATATTTGGTGAGTCTGAAACGTGCGCCGATGCGGTGTGATGCGGTGCGTCTCGAGGTTGGTTGGTGTGTGATCTATGAGTGTTATGGGTAGCCCTCAAAAGGAAGAGAGAGAGGGATAGAGAGAATAAAAATATGAGAGCGAGCTGTTCGTCTGACTGCCAAGCCCATTCAGGAAAGAAGGCATAGACAGATGGAGATAGATAGAGGGAGAAGGAAAGAGAGAGAGAAAGAGAGAGATAGAAAGAGAGAGAGAGAGAGAGAGGGAGGGAGGGAGAGAGAGAGAGTCAAGTGTATACTCTGGATAATTAGGGTGATAAATTGGTCAGTGCTCATTCTCGTAACTTGCAGACGTATTTGTTAAACGATAAGCGGCGCACATGCGAGCCAGCTCAAACTCAACCTGAACCGTACACTTTTGTTTCCTCTTACGATATTAATTGGGCCGATGTAAACACGATTCAACAGTAAAGCACACATATTTTTTACTGATAAATTTTGTGTTTGCTTTCAAATTGCTGCTTTATCATCTTGGCAACCTAAAACTTGGCACCTTCTGTAAACTAAACTTGAAATTAGTCTGGTTTCATTATCTCATCTGAAATCATATGGCATAGCAATATAAACCTACTTACTGATAGTGTTTGAAAATGCTGATAAAATCAATAAATCAAGTTCAACACACTTGAACTTTGACATAATACAATGTATTCAAATGAGTCACTCATTACATTTATATATTTCTTTTATCAACAAAGAGTTTTCTCCTTGCCTTGAAATAACCTTTCACACTTATTTTCTTAAAGTCTTTAAAGTTTATTTTGAAAATGGTGAACTTTGCTGACAACTTATAGATTAAATTTTAAGAAAAATAATATAACGTAGCCGTAATTATGTTTTGACCTTGACAATTTTGTTGATATGAATTCATATTTATTGTCAATAGGGAAATAAAGCTTTCTTAATTTGAAGTAAATTAAAAGGTTTATCTGCAAAAAGCCAGAAGGGTTTCATTTCCATGGTAAATCTTGTAGAAGTAAATGTCCTTTTTGCTTCTAGTTGAAAATCCAGACCTATTTTCTGCATTCTCTCTCTCCTTTTTTCTTCTCCTTCAAGTTGGCACGTGGATGTTTCGATTATGAATAACAAATTTGTTGGTGATTGTAAGGCACACGGGATGGTCCCAGGCGACACAGCCTGAGTGCACGGTGATACCCCCACTGCTGGTAGGCCCACTCCGTTACGCTTTGCTCAAGATTAGCCTCCCTCGATTCCTCTTCGCACCTAGCATTTTTCCTCGGAAAACTGGGGGGAAGACGGAGAAGGCCAAATGCAAGGTTGCCCCAAAGAATGTCGGAATTGGGTCGTGGCAGTCAAGCGTAAAAATGAGGCCCTTTGAAGCTATATTTTGTTCTTTGTTTGCTTCATTTCTCTTGGGAAGGGGTAAAACAATGTCACTGGAAAGTATCAGTGTGTAGATTGTGAGAGACTATAGCAAGAAACTGACTTAAATCAAGAGAGAGAAAGCTTTTAGAAAACTGGATATATGTTGGGAAACACAGAAATTGAAAGCTGAAATTATAAAAAAGGAAATTTAATTTATGATATAACGATTGTACTCATAAACTTGTAGCTTTAGACAACTGGATAAATATTGGGAAACAGAGACATTGAAATCTGAAATTATAAATAGAATATTTAATTTAAAATATAACAATTGTACTCCTAAACTTGTAGTTGGGTAGTGGAAGAAGCACAGGAAATAAGAAAGATGCGAAGAGAGCAGAAAGAGCACGATAGAACAATAAATTAACAGGAATATAATTAGGTAAAATGGTGACAAAAGATAAACATCAAAAGGAAGATGTGCTCTTAAAACTTTTAAAACCATTTTAACTCTTCTTTTTTTTCTTCTTCTGCATGCCCCTTGTAGAAATCAGATAATTTGTCCAAACTGCATATAACTTATCCCACCTGAGTGATATTCCAATTCATGTAGTCAT